GCCAATGGAGCCTCCTCTCTGCCAGGGACCAGGGACCTGGCCGCCTGCCTCAAGGTAGTTGTCACAGTCGGAGTAATGCAGGCCCAGGAGGCAGAAGTTCTGTTGCTGTGCGTGTTCCCAGGGTGCTGTGTACAAGGGCTCTCCCACGGGTTATCTCTGTGCACTTACCCTCAAGCGAGGTGCCCAGGATGATTCTAGGTGGATGAACAGTTACTTCAACAGGTGTGTTCCTATTTCAGTATGTGTGAGAAAGATGTAACCTCACAGCACAGAGTAGGGGGTGGGTGCACCATGACGACAGTGGTGTTTGGGAAACTCTCATCCTTTGACATGTGTGCAGGCTGAGGCTGAGAGGTCCTTGGTAGGTGTTTTGTCGTAAGTGAGCACCTGTTGTGCCTGGTGAATGCGGCAGGAGCCACTCCCACTATCATGAGGCTGAGACTTCGGCCTCCACCTCTCCCCATACGGGTAGGAAGTCGAACCCAGGCAGTCTCTGGGGAGGGAAGAGCTATGTGGTCTCCCTCACCTGCACCCTGCCCTCCCCTGCTACTTGGGGTCCTCTTGGTTTCCTGGCTGTCAGTAGAAGGAATCTGGAAAGTCACGAGGACAGCCTGGTGGGGAAATTGGCTTGACGATTTAGCAATTGTCCAGGAAGAGCCACACTCCTCCAGCCTCCCCATGCACCTTGCCCTTCCCTACCCCCGTGTGTGAATGACACGGATCCACCATGTCATTGAGCATCTGGGAGCGCTGGCCTGGCTATCGTGGGCCTGGATTTTCTGGACCTCTCCCAGTTTGCTTTGGATTTGCTCTTTTCCACAAAGGCAGTTCATTAATGTAAACTGCTTTTATAAATAATAAATACTCTTCTATCAGCCCCTGTGGCCTGAGTTTTAGTTCAGGAATCGTGGCCACAATGGGCGTGCATAAAACTGTCCAGTTTGGCCTAATGTCTTTGAAGCTTTGGGCTGTGCTTATCTAAATAGCTATTAAAATGAAATTGACTTACTGTGAGCCCAGTCCGTGCTGCTAGTAAGCAAGTGTGTTTGTTCCTAATCACTGAGGGTATCCTCTAATTGGTAGGGTTAGGACTCATTTCCCCCAGACTGGGGGCTGCAGAATTCACCTGGAGCTCCCTGCTTGGCTCCCAGCATGCTGTATCAATCGGGGAGGGATAAGGGATGGTTATTGGTGCAAAACTGCTCCCAGGAGGGGCAGGCTGATTCCCTAGCGTCTTGTGGGGCTGGGACCTTTGATCAACAGAGACTGAGGGTCACAGCTTCAGGTATGGGTCTGGGATGGCCCGCCATCTAGGCAGTGCTGTGTGTGTGGCAGGATGGAGGCAGGTGGCTTGGAAATGGCACCTCTTCCCTGCTGGACTTGTCGGGTGTGCCCAGGAGGGGATTTCTGACTGCATGGATTCACACAAGTACAGCGAGGCCCCCTTGCCCCTGGGTGGAAACATGAACTGGATGACTGGGGCAACTCAGCTGTAGCAGGTGATGTTTACTCTGAGATTTATTCTAAAGCAGGCAAGTGATAAACAAGTACACTGGTTAACAGCCTTCCTTTTATCAGAAATTATACCAGTGACTAAAAGGAACTAGGCAGAAATCAGTAGTAAGTCAACTATTTGAAGGGAGCTGGAGAGTTTGTGCTTTGTGGGCCAGAGGCTATGGGTGGAGAAGACTGAGCAGGTGGTGTCTGCAGCCTGCTGGATGGCCAGGGCAGGTCACTTCTCTCTCTTTCCATATTCTTCAGCCATTTGCCAGGAATCAAGTGGAAAGTGGGATCTAGTCCTATACTGCCCTATTACCAAGGGGAAAAGCTGGCTTTTGGATGTTAAAAGAATATGGCGATTCAACAAAAATATTAATTTGGTAGGTTTACAAAAGGGCTGTGTAATGGAAATCTAAGATAAGCAACTCAGGGGAAACATTCTGCAGCCATGTTAAACATGAATTATGGATAAGGGAACAAAGTAAGATTACAACAGCTTCCAATTTTGGCCAAGCACTGTGCTCTTAGGGAATGAATTATTGCTAGATTTTAACAAAATAATCCTATTATTTTCTGGCTCAAGGGACTGGAAAGGTTTTTGTGCTTTGCTGAAGGGAGACAGGTCAGCCATGGATGTTTGTCACTGAGCAGTTGAACCTGTCCCCACCTGCCTACAGTTAACGAGGCTAAAGCTGAACTCTGAGCACTAGAAACCACACTGTGTGACTTAAGTAGGCTGATGGAGAGTTAAAAATACAGGTAGCCTTGGCAAGGGTTTTGCAAACACCTGCCTTGCAGGCTGTCCTCCCACACTCGACCTTGGGCAAGCTGGGCAGAGCTGAGTGGGAGGAACCAGGGTTGTCACCACAGCTCCCCAGGATGTGAACAAGTGCCAGCAAGGGTTTGGTGGCAGATGAAGCCATCCTTAGGAGGACTCAGGACTCTGACGATAGTATGGACAGTGGTGGCTGCTTGGCTTTCTTGATCTGCTTTGTTGACCAGGCCAGCAATGGGCAAGTTCCGGTCAGAGAAAGTGTGGGCACCCCACAAGTGGCTCCAACAGGGCAGCAGTGAGTCGGGGGACATGCTGAGAAGCAGCTTGCTGCCACCTCCATCTTAGAGAAACAAGGCAGCATTTGTCCTAGCACTGAGCAAGGGAAAAAGAGACAACATGACAGGCTCAGCCGGGAGGGGATGCGGGGGACTTTTTCCTCACTTCCCAGGGAGAGAAATGATCCCTGAAGCAGAGCAAATAGCTGCTTCTGGAAGTCCAAATTCAACATCAGAGGCCGAAAGCAGGCCGGCACCCACATGGCGCCTGCTGGAGCCCAGCAAGAGGGAATCTGCCATCACACATTAGAGGCAGCCCCTGTCCAAGTCACTGCAGGCTCCTGCAGCAGGAGCCAGGTAACCATCTGGCCTTGCTGCCTAGGGTGATGCGGGCCAGGCTGGCCAGCACTGGAAGCTCACTGCTGCCCCAGCTGCTGTTCAGAGCAAAGGCCTCGGTCAGGAAGGAGAGACAGTCCTTTCTGAGCCCACTGCCATGGGCCTGGCTGTCACAGCAGCCACCGGACAGTTGTCACAAGAAGGCTGTACTCTCAGCAGGGGAAGCTGTTTCTCTACATCTAAGAGGCACGTTGGTTTGCAGTGGCCAGTGTTTGGTGTTTAACAAGTGGAGTGGGAAGCCGCCATCACCTTAAGTTTGGCCTCTAGTTCTCAGGGAGGGTTGGTGGTGGGACGTGTATAGGAGTAAAGGACTTCATCTTGGGGGCAGGGTTGTCAGCTTTCCCTTTCAGAAAGGACTTAGGGAAATTCAGTTTTTTCCTTTGATCACCTGAAATCCAAGCAGTCATCCAGGGTGAGATTTCTACTTGATGGGAGAAGGTGATGCCGTCACTAGAATATTTTTTAAATGTGAATTATTGCTTGGGCAACAGCAGTATCAAGGCAGCATGTGGCTTGGATTGAATAACACAATCTAGTGGCAGGAAATTCACGGGGGTGGGGGGCTGCAGTCCCTTTGAGAATCTAATGAAAAATAACCACACTTTCTCCCAGAAAGTACACTTATGCACAATTTCACATGTAACATTGTGGGTTTCTTAGGTACTGGTCTAGGAACCCCTGGTAGTGGAGGTCCTGGGGGAAACTACTCAACTATGGGCTGCAAAACAAGGCATCATACAATGTAAGACCTAAAGGGGGTGGGGGTAGAGCTGGTAAAGTGGTACGCCCATGGGCTATCACTGTGCACCTTGCCAGACTATTAAAATAATGAGCAGTAAGTAAATTCCAAAATTTAATATTAGAACAATTATGGACACATGAAGTAGAAAGCAAGTCATAAAACATTTTGAAATAAGACATAAGAGCTTCTAGTGTTTTGCCTGCAGGCTCACCTGGCAGCATATGAGTCTCTTCTTACTTAAGGGGAGACCACAGGTGGAAGAGTATAAGAGCTAAAGAAGAAAAAGTAGTTGATAAAAATTCACTAAAAACTCAGAACTCACAAAGAAGCTCCCCCAAAAAGCCAATGGGAATAAAGGTGGGTGAGCAGAAGGGGATAGACATGGGCCAAGATTTTTTTTTAATCATTGGGTAAATGGTGACTTATTCCAGGATATTCAGGTTTATAGCAGAAAACACTGATTAAGGCTAGCATGCTGGAAGATTATAGTTTGGGTCTAATAAACTTCCCCAAACCCAGGCAATTTTCATGAATGGGAGATATGCTATAAACAGGTTGGGGGAAAACTGTGCTTGTAATGTTTTTACACTGGACCAACTGTTGATAGTGAAAAACAATAGTTTAAAACTATTTTTAATCATAGTAAAATTTTCTGGGTCTAATTCTACAAAGCCAGGAAGGAAGAATGTATCTGCAAAATGAACTGTGAAGTCAAACTGGAAGGGGCCATTTCTTGAAACTAAAAGTTTTTTTCCCCAGTGGTCCAGCTGCATCAAGACCATAAGAGAAAAAGGGTGCAGGCTTGATGAAAACCTTACAAAGCAAGGTAACGGGGTGGGGTGGGGGTGGGGTGTCAGACCATCACATGACAATGGGAGTCAATAAAATACTTTGTGTGCTAACTGCAGTCTGGCTCACTCATGAAGTCATTTGGTTGAAAGGAAGTAAAAACCCATCTGGACAAGCTGCCTCCCCAGGAAGGCAGTCTGAAAGAAAGCAGCACTCTCTGTGTGGGAAGTGACATTTCCCAGTCATGGCTCTTCATCTGGCTCCGCTTTCCTATCTAGTTGGAGATGGCTGTTTAATGACTGAGTATCTGAAGCAATCTGAAAAACCTCCCCAGACCTCCACAACTCAAAGGTTCTAGGCCTTTGAGTAAGGGCAGGCACTTCCCAACGATATTCACTTGGGTGCAGCAGAAAAGCCTTGTTTTTCAACTCTTGGATTAGTGTGGGCAAACTATTCCCACACTGATGGCACTTATTCTGTGGCCTTCTCTGTTCCTAATAGTCCCTTGTGCCTCTTTTCTTTATTAAGACTTGTATATTTTGTCTTTTCAAAAAATGGCTTTTGGCTTTATATTAACTTTGTTGTTTTCTATTTCATTAACATCTGCTTTTGCTCTTATTTAACTCCTTTCTTTGGGATCATGTTACCTTTTAGTTGAAAGCTGAGTTCATCTATCTTCTGTCTGCCTTGTTTTCTCTTGAAGGCACAACTCTGTCCCCTTCTTGCCTCCTCCCCTGGGTTTGGATATTCAGTACTTTCATTTGTCATCCTGGTCTCCAAAGTTTAAACTCTCTGTTTTTATTCCCCTCTTTAAATCCAAGTTAATTCAGGAGTGTATGCAATTCCCAGGTGTATGGTTTTATTTCATTACTTTGCTTTTTGCTTGTTTCTAGTTACACTGCACAGGGGTCAGTGAATTTGGCCTGTGTGGTATCACTCTTTGTGCAGTCTGAGATTTTCTTTGTGGTCTTTGTACATGGTCTTTTTGAGCATAGTCTATGGGTATTTGAAAAGGTACAAAATTCCATACACGTCTATTGGATCTAGCTTGCTAATTATATTAAGTAGATCCTACAAGTATTATTTTCCCCTGATTTGATCTGTTGATCACCCACCATGAGTAAGTATGGATTTTGTTTCTCCTTGAAGTTCTATCAGTATTTTTTTTTTGACGGCTGGCCGGTACAGGGATGGAACCCTGGACCTTGGTGTTACCAGCATCACACTCTATAATCAAACGAGCTAACCGGCCAGCCCCACTTTTTGCTTTTTATGTTTTGAAGATATATTAGGTGGATGGTGCTGTTTAATCAACAGTAATGCAATGGCTTGCTTTCTTAATACTTTGGAAATGTAAGCTATTTATCAAGCCGAACAGTTCTCGCATGTTGTCCTGTTTTCTCTTAGTGGTTTAAGATCATGATTCCTCCTGTAGAATCACCTTCCATCCCATATGGAGGATGGCTATTTAGTTAATGAGTATTTAGAAAATAATTACTTTGTATCACATATTGTGGACACAACAGTAGTAAGCAAAATAACTGAAATATTTGTGTAAATATACACAGTAGTCCCCCTCCCTTATCTGCAGTTTCACTTACCCATGGTCTCTTTCCGTGGCCTGAAAATATTACATGGAACATTCCAGAAAAAAACAATTTAAGTTTTAGGTTGCGTGCCGTTCTGAGCAGTAGCATGAATAGCCTGGGATGTGAATCATCCCTCTGTCTAGCATATCCATGCTGTACAGTATGTATGTATAGGAAAACAGATAGTAGATACAGGGTTCACTACTAGCCATGGTTTCAGGAAAAGTATCCCTATGGATAAGGGGGGCTACTGTGATTATAAACCAGGGTAAAAGCTATGAAGAAAAAGTACTACTGTTCTACCAGGTTTATATTGGGTCATGCCAGGGGTGGGGGTGCCAAAGAAATCTACCCTGAGTAAATACTTGATCTGTGATCCAGAGGACAGGTGCGTGTTAGGGCCTTGTAGGCCCAGAGACCAACACACCCAAAGGCTCCTAAAGAGGGAAGAGTTTGAAAACTGGGAAGATGGCCAGCAGGGCAGGAGCTTTGCTGGACAGTGATCCTCCTGGAGCTCATCGGAAGAGCTGCAGAAAAGTCCTGCAACTATAGCAGCCTGGCAAGATGGGTAGGGTGTCACTCCTGAGACAGGCTGAACTGAGCTGGAGAAGGTATCGGGGTGGGAGTGCACAGAGGAAGGAGGTTAAATCTGAGTCATCCATGTGTGTACTCAAAGCCAGGGGAGAGAGAACAGAGGACGGTGAAATCAGCCATGGAAAACTCCAGCTTCTAGAGTCGGGCAGAGAACAGTGAAGGCAGTGTGGGAATGTGTGCTGTTGCGCATGTGCACCCTGGGCAGTGCCTCCCTGTCGTCTTAAGATGCAGCAAATTGGTTATTCCTATAATTTCTCCCTGCTCCCAAAGAAGGCAATTCCCTAACTATGGTCATAGGGAAAAGCCAGTGCAAGGTCATAGTTGTAACCGGCCATGGTGTCACAGGGGGAGCGGCAGATGGGAAGAGGGCTCTGGAAGGTCAGCTGGTCCACTGCAAACTCATAGGCGTGGATCAGCCCCCGGTGTCTAGAGAAAGCACAGAGATAAGGACAGGTCAGAACTGTGTGACGGCCCTTGCCCCTGACAGCCGCTGTCTTTGCAAGAGGCGTTTGCCTCAGACAGACAGGAGAGTGACTCATTTTAACAAATACATCCTTCAGCCCACTCATGGTCCTGGGACTAGAGCTAAACAGGGAGGCAGAGGAGTTTGAAGGGGCGTATTAAATGCCGGGAGGCAAGGTGCCTGGAGTGGGGATGGTCGGCCAAGGGGCTAATATGACAGCGGCCCCTGAGCCCACCTGCAGGGCCTCACCCAGCAGGCTGTACATGGGGAATGAACTCAGGGGACTGGGCCTTGCCCCGTAACTCTAACCACAAGCAGGCCCCCTCAATGCTTGTGAACTGCCCCCTCTGAAAAAAGAGTGTTCCTGCCCTGTGTGCTGTAGTGGGGAAACACAACAGCACTCAGTGCCGCTTATCGGTGACCTTGACTGTGTCCCCAATTCCTATAAAAGCATGGCTGTGCCTGAGGGCATAGTGTGGGGGCAACATGGCACAGGGGTTTGGATTTTAAAAAATCAAACGAAGGTGGTCTTTTCTGAACATGTCCAGAGCTGGCCCACCCAGTGTCCCTGACTGACCTCCGGTGCGTGGTGAAGGTGTCCAGGTCGGCATTGCGCACCACCCTCTCATAGGGCACATTGGCTGTGATGAGGCTGTGGCTGTTGAACGAGATATGGCGGACAGGGTGTCTGGAAGACAGCAGGAGAGAGGGCGCTTGTGAGGGTAAGTCCCACGGGAGCTGAGCACAGTCCACAGTCCACAATTGCAGACTCAGGAGTTGAGAGCTGCAAGGGACTCTAGAACCCTCTAAGCCAGGCTTCTCTTTATAGAGAAGGAAATGGGGCCCCCACAGGGGCAGTGCCCACCTCAGTTCCCAAAGCTAGTGGGAGCAAGACTACACTCTGGACCCTTTTTTATAAACAGATCCAAATGCCCTGATCCATTCTGGCTGACTGCCCCAGCCATCGGGTGGGGTTTGGACATAAAGGACCAATTCAGCCTGAGAGAGATCAGCACCATGTAGTGGAGACCCGCCCCACTGCTGCCCTGGTCAGAAAGGCTCCCCACCCCAATCCTAAACTCAGAGAGCTACAAGGTACACCTATACTCTGGGTTGTAAAAATACATTCAGAAAATCTCTGAACAAAGCAGCTTCTAGTCTGTTTAACATAGGCTTTAGTGCATTTTAAAAACTTTGATGCTATGCCTGCCCTCAGAGAAGGGCCTAATTAAGAAAGATACCTTCCCACAGAATATAGCAATGCTTCCACAGCATGGGAGATGTTAGAAGCTATAAAGAATGGGGCACGGCATTAAGCTCTCAGGAGAAATTCCTTCAGCATGGGCTCAAAGGGTCTGCCAGGCCCTCTCAGAATGGCAGAGAGTGCCATGGGAGGGGACAAAGGAGAGGCCTGCTCCTAGGATGGGCAGAGGCAGGCTTCTTGGCTAGAGCAGAGGATTCTCTTGAGAGTAATGAAAGTTGAGGAAGAGGTGGAGCCCTGCCCTGTTAGTCCAGGGTCTGGGGCACCAATTGGAGGAAGGTGTGGTTGGAGGACTTCACTTGGACCCAGTAAGGCAGGCGGTGATGGGGGCCCAGGCCAGGAGAACGCAAAGATCAGGGAGGATGTGAGAGATGCGGGGGTGCTAGGAAGAGAAGGGACGGTAAGGCTTGCAGCCCGGCTGACTGAAGTGGTCAGGGAGCAGGATGTGAATTTGAGCATGGCAGTGAACTCTGGACAGGAGACTGTGTAGAGAGGGAGGCATCAGCCTTGTCTGGGTGGAAACCACCGGGCGTGCAGGTACAAAGGCAAATGCTGGGCCAAGACCACTTCTCTGGGGAAGACCTCACTTACCTGAGGCTTCATGTGAACAGCCATCCGAGAGAGCTTTTCAGAGAGAAGAATGAAATCTGCTGGAGTGCAAGCCTAGAGAACTAATCGAAGCTGCTGTGAAAAGCCTGGGGACCCAGGATGGCAGAGGGAGCTGTCCTAGAGGCAGGCCCAGCCAGCTCTTCAAAACAAACACCAGGTTTTCCTTTAAGGCAAATGCTTCTGGGATTCTAGTGTGGGAGTTTTAGTTGCCTTTTGGCACCACCTGGTGGCAACTCAGCACATCACCATAGAAATCAGAAAAATGGCCTATGCACCTGATTGCCAAGAAAGGAAGGGGATGGATAGACAGGGCACCAGCCTGATCAGAGCTGCAGCTGCAGCACCCACCAACACTGCCCTCCAAGGAAGAAACCAATTCCTCACTTAACCGCCTCTCCTAGGCATTTGTGAAGTTGTTGACCTTGCACTTAAGACCACACTGCTTCTCCCAGGTCTAGTTTGTCTTGCTTTGCAGTTGTGGGGAACAACCATCAGTTCATATTTGGAGGCCTTGGTCTCTATGCTCGCTTGCTTTTATTATCATGATCACCGTCCGCAGTATTGAGGCGCAGCTGAGAGGTGGCCTGTTGCCTGTCTTCCCACCTGCCTCAAAAGCAGGGGCTCCCCGCTTTGTGGACCAGTAGATGTGGGTGGGGCCCATTCCTTGGCCGAGGTGGGGACAGCATTAAGTTAGCTCTGGATGTCTCTGCTCCAGGTGAGGCTGCCTCTGCTTTCAAGATTAGAAGCAGGCTTGCTTGAAAATGTTTAACCAGTTAGGCCTCATTAGTACAAATGCACCTGTGAAGCCATCAGCCTGTGTTTGTAATAATATCTATTTATTTCTCAAATATTAGCGTTAAAGGTTGAAATTCCTCATTAGTTGAATCCTGAAAACTTTCAGTCCTAAGGGCCCTTCTGAACAGTGTGAGGAAAGTCCATGCGACAGAGGCAGAATATCACGGTTGTGCACATGACAACTCTGGAGTGGAGGATGCTGTGCCGGGGCCAGCCCTCCCTCCCGCCTGTGGTCAGACGGGGTGGTGCACCTGCACCTCAGTGGGGGAGTCAAATCATGGTCTAGCTATCTGGCTTCCTACATTTTTGGGTTATCTTCTCTTTTATTAAGATAAAATCCTAAAATAACCAGAACAATGCTTACAAGAAATTAGTTTCTTCAGAGAAACCTGGGCCAGATTAATAATGGCTGGGTGTGAATTGTGGCAGTTTTAATGAGGTAAGAGGGAGGAACTACATCTCCACCGACCAGCACCATTTTCAAGCCTCAGCTTCCTCATCTGATAAAGGGAGCCAGGAGCCACGGCTGGCTTGTCAGGTTATGGTGAGGCTCCTAAAGTGGAGCACGGGAAGCATTTAGCACAGTGCCTGGCTCCGAGAGGGACTAGTATGATCAGTGCTCTTACTGCGATTACCTAGAATGCACCTCCCACAGCTTTTGGTTCATCCGGTAATCCCACACAGAGACCAGGCCTTCTTCGCCTCCGCTGACAATTTTCCAGTCATCCATCTGGACTGCAGAGACCCCAAGCTGGTGGGCAGAGAGAGACAGGGCGATTTTATCGGAGCGGAGGTCATGGATCCTCACCCTGGAAGACCCAAGAAGAGCACAGAGAAAGAAATTAAAGACTGAAAGTACAAATTCCTACCCAGATGTGCTGGTCTTTGCACAGTGTTCCTATATAAAACTCCTTTGGTTGCAAACATCTACAATAATGATAGAAAACTTTTATCTCCTACTCAGGACACTGTCATAGTTTATAGAGAACCTGCCACTGTTTAATCAGTATGACTTAAAAACACATGGAACAAGAAAGATCCAGGACAAGCCCTGCTGCCCACTTTATCTGTTCCACAGGGAAGACACCTGTGCAGGGCACTCATGCACATAGAAGGGAGCTGAGGTCTGCCTGGCATTGTGACTCCATGTGGGCGTTGGTCTGAGAAGCCTGTCCCATGGTAAAGTTACTACCCAGCACAGTCATTTTGCGGGTGGTATAATACCCTGTTAAGGGCAAGAGGTAAATCAGCTACCAAATCAGTTGGTTAGGAAAGCAACACTTTTTGGGTATTTAATTTAACTCAACTTTACTAAGTTCATCACCATCTTGTTGAAATTTCAAAAAGCAAATGCTTTTATCCTTGACTAAGCACAGCAAGATCATAAGAGTATGTGGACACTTGGCAGTCATTTATCTAAAGACTGGATATACTTACCGTGTGATAATCTGAATTTCCTTTAGAATCTCCTTAAAAACTATTTTTTATATAACTCTATATGGATTTTCACATGAGGATAAATTATATAAGACAGAACTTTCTTATCCACTACAAATGTCACCATACTTAATTCCTGAAATAATCGACAAGAGCTAAAATTGAATGGGGCATAATTAAATTTGATGAGTATAATAGATCCTATGATACAAGTCAAAAAAGGAAAAGACAACCACTGCCTGAAAGACACCATCATCTAGCAGAGGAGTTGGACAAATATATGTTTCATGTGATCATATGTATATGTTTGACATGAAAAATAGGGTAAGACAAGATCATCTGAAACGTGTTTTATGCCCCTGATTCTTAGCTACGTGAGCATGCAAACACACACTTATTTTCAAAGTTCTGATGGAAAATTATTTTGAACCCGAAATTCTACACCTAGCTTACCTACCGGGTTTGAAGGCATAATGAAGACTTTTTTAAAAAAACAGAAAAGAACTCAGTGAATTACCTGGGGATACTCTCTGAAAGAAAGTGATATAGCAAAATATCAGAAGGAATGCGAGGAGCCCACACACAGGCCATATAGTCAATTATTTTTTTTTTTTTTGTCTTTTGTCTTTTTTCCGTGTCCGGCAACGGATCGCAACCCTCAGTGTTGCCCCCGTACCGGACCGGGGACCGGCAACGGGATCGCAAGCCTCGGTGTTGCTCCCGTGCCTCACTCAGCCAGTGAGCGGGAGCCGGTCTGTATGTGGGATCCGAACCCTCGGACGGGAGCGCCGCCACGCTTCCCAAGCGGCGCACTATCCAGTGCGCCACCGGGCCGGCCCATATAGTCAATTATTAAATAAACACTGAAACATAGCCCAAGAAGACCCATGGCTTAAGTAAGACCTGACTTGTCAGGTCAAAGAGATACATACAGGACACATCTGACTATTAACAAGAAGAGCTTCAAATGCATCACAAAGAAAAAATACCTTACACATGAAAAGCATATTTGCAAATGCCAAGGAAGAGAGATTACAATTTTAATACTTGAAAAGGTATATTTCAGGGCAAAACACATTAGATAAGAGCACAATTTACTAAGTGCTTAGTAAAACTTGCCTGGAAAAAAACCAAAACTACCCTGGACCTAATTTCTTTTTGGTAGGTTTTTTTGTTTTTAAAATGTGGTATATATGCACAATGGACTACTCAGCCATAAAAAAAAAAAATGAAATTCTGCCATTCGTAGCAACATAGATGAGCTTGGAGAAAATTATGCTAAAGTGAGATAAGCTAAGCACAGAGAAAATACCACATTATTACTCATAAGTGGGAGCTAAGAAAGAACAATCACAATAATACGTTGAACTTTCAGAAGGAGAGAACAGAACTGTGGTGGCTGGGGGAGGGGTGGGGTGTTAGGGAGAAATTGGTTAAAGGACACAAAGAATGAATACATTTTGTAATGATGAATATGCTAATTATCCTGATATGATCATCACATATTGAACACAAATACTGAGAGTCAATTCTGTACCCTGCAAATATGTATAATCAATTATGTTTCAATAAAAAAGTTTCTTATTATAATCTATTCAGGTTTTCTATTTCTTAAGTTAATTTTTTAAACCTCCAAATTTGAAAACTTAGATGAACAAAATGACTTTCTAGGAAAATAACAATTACCAAAACTGACCCCCAGGAGATAGAAGATCCAAATAGATAAAGTAACAAAGAGCAAACTGGGAAAGCTATCAAGGAGCAACAGTCCCCGCACAAAAAGAACAAGTGACATTGACACCTGTAAGGAACATCTGCAGGGTTATTTAAATTGCTCCACAGCCTATAAAAAGATGGAAAGCGTCCAAACTCTTTATATGAAGCCAGCATTCTATTACCAAAAACCTGACAGTGCGAGCAAGATAAAAGAAAACCACACATCTGAATACAGTATCAACTAATAGACTCCACAGCAATATGCTACAAACAAGTGGAGCCTTAGAAAAACCACATGGTCATTTCCATGGATGTTAAAAAAAATCTGATGAAATGTAACACCCGTTCTTAACAAAAAATCTTTAAAAAAAAAAAAAAGAATAATGCACTATCACCACTATTAGTTCACATTGTTTTTTAAAAAATTAGATACAATTAGAAAAAAATGAAAGGTATAAAAACTGGAAAGAAGTGGGCAAATTTATCATTAGAGATGACAATCCAAGAGAGTTCAATAATTCAGAATCGAATATAAATTAATTGCCAAAATCAATAGCTGTCTTATGTATAAACAACCACTAGTTTTAAAAATGTAATCAAAGACCCCACTTACAATAGCAATTATAGGCAAAATTATCTGTAATAACTTTCTCAGCTTGGAGCTCTACCGTATACATTACACCAAAATAAATTACAGAGGGCTCAAAGAGTTAAACAAACTATAAAAATATTCAGAATAGGGAAGGCCTTTCTAAACATAACAAAACCCAGAAGCCAAAAAAGAAAAGATTTATAACCATATACAAAGTGTTTAACTTTTTCCCATATGGGGGAAAAATCAAAGTCAAGGCAAATGATAAACTGGAGAAAATGTCTGCAGCAGAGAGGACTCATTTCTTATAATAAATTCCTTCAGATTAATAGTAAAGACTGACAACCCAATATTAAAATGAGACAAAACACAATTCACAGAAAAAGAAATATTAATGGCTTTAAACATGTGTAAGATGTTCGATTTTGCTCGTTTTAAGAGAAAGGATGCAATAAAACTACAATGCAGTACCACTTGTCACTTATCTACCCAGCCAAGATCAGGCATGATGACACACCCTATGAGGCACTCTAGGGTAGTGAAACATGGATAGGTACTATACACAGCTGATGCGAACACAAATCGCTCTTTAGGGTGTGATTTGGCAATATCCAACAAAATGACAAATGTACTTCACTTTTAACCCAGCAATTCCACTTCTAGGAATTATCTAGGATATATGTTCACATGTGTACAGATACAAGGCCACTAGCCACAGTACTGTTTTTAATAGCAAAAGATGGGGCTCCTGCTTTAGAGAACTTGACCCTTCTACTGCAAGTCACTTAATAATGCTGGATGAAATATAACATCCTTTCAAATCCACTGCTGAGCTCACAAAGTAAGTGACTTCTCCAACGCCCCAGCTGAAAACCAGACTGGAGAACTTGAGCTGCAACTCAAGTTGCAGTGTGGAGGGATAAGGCCATTTGCAGGAGCCAACCTCAAGACCAACAGATTTGGATCTCAACACAGGCAGGGGCATGATTATAAGACTTGGGCCCACCCAAAGGGGGAGGGGAGTACTGAGACTCCTGCTTTTTAAGAAATCCACATAAAACTTCTATAAATGAAAATGTTCCCTGAAATTAAATTCATGAGATAGGCTAGAAGCAGATTAAAGAATTTGCGAATTAGAAGATAAGTCTGAAGGAATTATCAAGGATGGAACACAGAGAGATAAACAGATGAAAAATGTGTGAATGAGGAGTTAAGAGACAAGAAGGATAGACAGTTTCAACATATGTCCAAAGAAAGTTCCACAAAGAGGAGACAAAGTATATGGCAAAGAAGCAATATTCAAGATAACGGCTGGCATTTTCCCAGAATTAAAGACATGCATCCTCAGACTCATATAACATTAATAAGAATAAAAAGGGATACATACATAAGAGTATAATGAAAAAAAAGGGGGGGGGATACAAAAGACAAGTCTTAAAAGCAACTTGAAGGAAAAAGAACATTACCTATTAAAAGGAACAATAATCAGACTGACAGGACCATTAGAAACTACATTTAAGTTGTCAGGAATTCCTATGACTGGATATGGATGGCACCCTTAACTAGCCCATCAACTGAGTGCTAGTTAAAGCAATTCTGGTGCATCCACACAGTAGAACACGGCACAGTCATCAAAGGAAGAGGCAGATGTATACCTGCTGACAGGCAGTGGTCTCCAGTGTGTCAATGCCCACCGCTGTGAACAGGTGCATGTTGGGGGAAGGGGGATATACAAGTGTGCATGTGGGCAGACAACCCCTGGACACGCTAACTGTCACGGAGTTGCAGCTGAGGCTGACTAGGCAGCTTGGGAAGAGGAGTGCACAGAAGAGTGAATTCTCCTATACTACTTTGTGCTTTGAAATTCATTTTTTTTTTGGTTTTGTTTTTTTTGGTGGCTGGCCAGTATGAGGATCTGAACCCTCGACTTGGTGTTACAAAACCATGCTTTAACCAACTGAGTGAACTGGGCAGCCCTCTTAAATTCAATTTTGAATGTGCTTGTTACCTGTTTAAGTAAAATGAAAAATAAAATCCTGGAAGGACATACTTGAAATGTTAGTT